GGGGTGATGTGTAAGTGGTGAGGTGGTTGTTGTTATATATCACAATATATCTGTATGCTTGCTTGTCTGTATCACCTGATATTTACTTGCATGGGATGTACTGCTCTAGCAATGTTATAAGATCATTTACCCAAAGGGAATGACAGGCGGCTGTATAAAGCTCCAAACAGGAGAATGGGAAATATGCATGATGTAAACAGGTTTCAACTCTAAATGTCTGTATAATATTTTCTTGTTTGACCTGCACTGCTCCAGATGGAAATCCATCCTGTTTTACTTCTCTATCTTTATGTTCTTTGTCACCCCGAACACAGATATGTATATATTTGATAACCAAAGAGAGCGTATAATGTCAGGCATGATGTTGTGAGTCCAATGTTACACTATACAGCAGCATATACTAATGTTTAGAATTATCAACTTATATGTAAATAATTGCTTCCATAGAATTTGGATCTGAATGTGAAACTGAAGCTTCGACAATTTGGAATTTTTGGGTCAAAGTCAATTTCATCCAAAATGAGCAAAATTATCTTGTCAAAGTCTATGGCTTCATACTTGTTGGTCCCGATCGAGCTGGTTCATTGCAACTACAATTAGTGTATGGAAATCAGATCCAGATTCTATACATAGGCCATAACAACAGCCTGGTTAGAATGTAATGTGGTCAGTGTACAGAACTGACACCTGTGAGACATCTAGGTGAGACGATGTTGTGGGGGTGAGGTGTGAAGGGCCTCAGACACCTTTGAAACATCTTGGGGAGACGATGTTGTGGGGGTGAGGTGTGAAGGGCCTCAGACAAGCACCTGTGAGACATCTTTGGGAGACGATGTTGTGGGGAGGTACTTGTGGAAGGGGAATGTGTTATACTGTGGGCTGCAGGAACGCTCCTGGGTGTATTTTAATATTTGGAATAAACATTTTATTGGACAATGGGGTGCTTGATTTTTTATTTCTTAAATTCCATATGCTTTACAATCAGGGATTGGAACCCACAGACAGAATTTGAAGTAAGATCCGTTAGTGGCCTCTTACAACAAGCATGAGTTGCTGATCTTCCTGAAGAAGGTGATGTCTGTGAGATAGCGTTGTTTCCAATACATTGCAAAGCAGTGCGACAGGTGTGATTGAAGTTTGTTTTAAGCAGTTCATAAGGAAGAAACTCCGTTATTCCATTATTGGTGTTGATTCCAACTGAAGAGGATCAGCTGCAGTCAGAAAGTTCTCATCCATTAAGCTTTATGTCTTCAGGACGGTAAAACCATTGCATGATACTTATGTGCACTAATGTGTACAAACAATAAAACAAGCAAGACAATTTAAAAGATTTATTAAAAATTCAGTAAATAAATATATTTAAAAACTGAATTCAAATACCATCTATTTATTGTAATGTACCATCCAGTAGCACTTCTTGGTACACAGAAGACAAAAGTGAAGTTAATATCATGGGGCCACAGTGGCAGCCAGGGTACCTAGTCATCACTATAGCCTTAACACTGTCACTATTACAGCACCGCACAGGGCTCAGCCGGCGTTCCGGTAATACACAAAGCGATCATGCAGCACTAGTTTCACTCCCACTTTCGACGTTTCAGCTATCAAAACAGGATCACAAAGCTCTGTCGCTTCACTTCACTTCTGGCCGGACGAAGCACTGTAGCTGCTCATACGACGCCACCTGTGGGCATCAGGGGCAAGGCAAGGATCTACCGTGGTGGAGGTAAGGAACAAGATGTCAACCATGCAGGAACTAGACCTGTCCTTAAACATGCTGACCGCCTCCGTGGTGTAGTGGAAGTAGAGCTGGCCCGCCTGAGGAAGCCGGAAGGTCGCTGGTTCAACCCCCACCGCTGCCATACCAAAAAGACGAATATGGTACTTGCTGGTCTCCTGCCTGGCGCCGCATTAATGGGTACAACAAGGACTGGTCGGCTGGGAGTCAGTATAATGTGTCTGAGTGGGGTATTCTGCATGCTTCACTTTCTTTGACATGGTATCTCAGTGGAGCTAGCACTATAAAACCAGCTTAGAGGTCCTGGAGGCTTTAGTACAAGCAGCTTCCATTACACACATACACACCATTTACTGCCATATGAGCCGTAAATGTTTCTCAAGCACGACGTAAAACCCAATTTCACCTCACCTCACGTAAAACATGCTAACTGTCAGGATTATGTTCAGGACGGTGTTTTATTAGTAATCCAAACTAAACATGTCACTAATCACCAGTGATGTGAATTGTGTTGAATGCTTCGAAAATTTTTGGGCATTTTAAATCTAAAGTTACTTCTCTGATCCTTATTGATGAATGGATTGATATTCGGTATCCATTAAACTCGCGAGGAGACAGTTGCCAGTGTGGAGGAAAAAACACCAGATCAGCTCTACTAAGGGAAGTAACTCTGTACTGCAAAATGACAAAATTAGTGTCGGTGTGTGTGAAAGGATACTTGGTTGTAAGTGGTTCCATGGTCTGGATGACCTTGAGGGAGAGGAGTCAAACTGGCGTAGAGTCCTGGCGTCCCCGACGAGGATCAGCTTGTGTTTAGCTCGGGTCACAGCCAAGCCGTTCAGGACGCCGGATGTCTTGCAGCAACTCTCCCAGCTGAAAGTAACAGTATGAGTCATATTAACACTGGGCTACTTAGTGTCCTGGAAGTCACAGAAGGCTGGTGAACTGTGTCCTGTTTCTTGATCTCCAAGAAATTGTCACATTGCAAATGTTTAGATGATAGGATTTAAATGTACAACTTCGAGGAAATGTTTGATTAAGTTTGTTTTGTTGTTTAAAGCGCACTCAGCAATATTCAGCTATATGGCAGCAGTCTGTAAATATCGAGTCTGGGACAGAGACAATCCAGTGATCAACATCGCGGAAGGCATCAATCTATGCAATTTGGGATAATGATGACATGTGTCAACCAAGTCCAGCGAGAGCCTGACCACCTGATCCCGTTAGTTAAGCCTATTACAACAAGCATGGGTTACTGAAGACCAATTCTAATCCGGATCTTTACGTGTTGTTTGATTAAGCTGCTTGATAGGAAGATATGACACATATAAGAGGACTGAGCAAGTGAGTTGGAGCTAACACGGATCAGTATCAGTCATGGCAGGTGAAGTTAGCGATGGAAGGAAAGCCTGCAGGAGAGAGATGCAGGTCTCCTACATTACTGGTTTGGGGAACCTACAAACACAGGTATAGTGCTTACAAAAGGCGACAGAGGTAAAGATGGATTCAGCACAAACCCATTATCTTCGACATGCCTGTCTGACACAGGTCTGCTCAGCGAATTGTGCAATTTGTGCCCCTTAAAGGTACAGGGTTTGGTTGAGTATTCACTTTTGTTTATTTGTTGTTTTACACTGCACTCAGCAATATTACAGCTATATGGCGGCGGTCTGTAAATAATCAAGTCTGGACCAAACAATCCAATGATCTACATCATGAGCATCAATCTACACAATTGGACTCACGATGACATGTGTGTCAACCATGTCAGCGACCCTGACACCGATCCCGTTAGTTGCCTTTTACAACAAGCATGGGTTGCTATAGACCAATTCTAACCCGGATTATTCATTGTACCGGTCTAGTCAACACTGACCCCAGTATAAACCCACCTTATTGTTCTGCGAGTGGCTGCTGCGGACGAAGGACATGATGATGACGCTCTTGTCTCGGCCCTGGTATTGGTCGACAGTGTTGGCCTCTACAGCCACTAGGTGGCGCTGGTGAAGCAGCTGTTGCAGGAGTTTCACCTGGTGGCGGTACGGTGCAATGACCCCAATGTCATCCATGGACAAACCACACTGTAACACAAGACAGGTGTTAATGAGGCAGCACCGAGTAATGGGTGTTAAGTCTCCTCAATTGATACAAGCATGGGATAGATACATAGTAGATAGATGGTAGATACAGTGGAAACCGCCTAAGTAAAGACCGGTTAACTAAACAGACCTGATATGTAAACACTTTTCTTTGGTCCCGGCAAATTTCTTCATTAATTATCACTATTAGCGTTCGGTTAACTAAACTCGGATAAGTAAACAATACTGATTAACTAAACGTCTTTTCACGGTCCCTGAAAGAAAATTACTTAATAAAAGAGACTGGATAACTAAATTAGCGATCACCACATAATCCGACATGAGGGGCAGTCGTGTCAGTCTCCAGTCAAACAAACATCCTATGTACAGCTCGCTGGTGTCATGCAGTTGACAATACACTGACAACTGGAGGCCAGCCCTGATAAGTTGTTCATTGTTACATATGCATACATATACATGCATATGGTTGTCATTTGCAGGTTTTGATGAGGTTGGATAAGTAAAATACCCGATAAGTAAACAATTTTGGCGAGTCCCTTGAAATTTTACTTATCAAGTTTCCAGTGTACATGGCAGATAGATAAGGGCAGCACCTTGAAGAGAGAGAAATTTGCTGATAAAATGCCAGTTCCAATTATTGGACTAGTTAAAAACTAAGCCATCTATCGATATAATTAATACTGATCAAAATTAGAATGCAATGACATGCACAAGTCTAATCAGTGAATCTGACCACCTGTTAGTCGCATCTCATGACCAACATGGGCTGTTGAAAACCAGGTCTAATCTTGTCCAGTTCTACCTTCACAGGTATTCAAACCACAAGAGATAGGGAACCGTTCATAATTTCTGGCTGGAGGTTGTGATGATGATTGTTATGGAGGAGCATGCATGTGCATGACCCCATCAGAGAAAAAAAATATAATTATGTACAAAGTCACTGGCGACCCCCTGGTACATGTGTACAAAATTGATGACTGTCCCTACCTCCCCCAGAACAAAATGGGTGAACGCCCCTTAAAATCATCATCACACACACCCCAAGCCATATATTATGACATGTTGTTTGATTAAGCTGCTTGATAGGAAGATATGACACATATGGAGGACCCAGCAAGTGAGTTGGGCTTAACACAGATCAGTATCAGTCATGGCAGGTGAAGTTAACGTGGAAGGAAAGCCTGCAGGAGAGATGCAGGTCTCAGACATTTACTGGTTTGGGGAACCTACAAACACAGGTATAGTGCTTACAAAATACGACAGAGGCAAAGATGGATTCAGCACAAACCCATTATCTTCTGACATGCCTGTCTGACGCAGGTCTGCTCAACGAATTGTGCAATTTGTGCCCCCAAAGGTACAGGGTTTGGTTGAGGGTAGTCCCTAAAGTGAAGTACTGCTACTCACCTTGACCAGTGATGCCACGATAATGAGGACCAGCTCAGCTTCCACTGTGTTCTTCAACATTCCCTTACCGTCCGATGCCTCAGGGGCTGGCACCTGCAACAGTCTTGGACATTAGAATACCTCACTGTACCCTTGCCACAGAAACATGTACACTCAAGACATTACAAAGCCAGTCAGTGAAGCGAAAATATGAAACGACAACTTTCCAAAATTGGGTTACGTGACGTAAACCATAAGTATAAACTGAGCTGATTAGTTTAACGTATGACATCTACCCATTGACATAACTTTAAGCAAGGGCCGAAGATTCCTATCTGCCCAGCTATGTACATGCTAATTGAATGAGACAGCATCTTGTGAAAATATTTCGTTTGAAAAACATGCAGGGAACCAAACCCAGGTCTTCAGTGTGACATGTAGATGCTTAAACCACTAGGCTACCCTATTGCTCATATAAAAAAAACCCCCAAAAACCCAATCCATCATTATGGAAAATACTTTGTTTATGCTATAACTTCAGTTATTGGCCAACTCTGTAAAATGACCTTCACCTTGTTGGTGTCCAGGAAGATGGCCGCCTGCTGCAGATCGGACGCCAGGACCTGACTGAGCCAAGGTCTGGTGTGGACTGTGGGTTCAGGTAGCACCAGGCAGGTCTCGGCCACCTCGCTGCTCCCACACTGCAGGAGACCCCCGTACATCAGCTCGTTGCTCAGGTGCATGATGGTCTTGTTCATACGGTACTGAAGGTTCAGGTCGAAGGTTGCACCAGCGTCGTCAAGACGAGCAAACAGACTCTCCCCCATACCTAGTTCCCTGCAGTAAATGGAAGAGATTCATGACGACATGGCTTTCCACGATTCAAACTCAGTACTTGTCAATCTCACGAATGTGTATATAGCAGGGCAGCCATGGCATTTGCACCTTGACAAGGGCAGTACCTGCAAGCCAAGTGCAACCCTACTATATACACAGAATCAACAGCACAACTTGCAAAAACAAAGGCAACCGTATCCAAAACAAAGGCAACCCTTACACACATTGGAGGCTGCTTCATGGCCAGGGGTGGAAATAACCCATTGCCCGACGTCCGAGTCCAGTGTTTTTTTTCTGTCGGGCAAGCAAATTTGTATATCACGATGTACCGGTCTCCAGTTGACTTTCCAATCTTAATAATGCTGTTTATTTACAAAATCAACACAAAAATGGCCCGTATAGTGGAAAAATTATCAGGGCAAGTGATTTTACATGTGCCATTTTACACTAGCAATTTTAAAGTTATTTCCACCCCTGATGGCAATGATTTCTCTAAAAGTAAGACACAACTTTCAAACAGATCTATTTGAACATTCTTACTTGATTTCACAGTCGAATGACACCAAAATAGTACATCAAAATACACCGTTGTAACACGCACATTCACACATAAGTGGTTATCTCAAGTTAAGGCAACATGATCAGTTGAAATATATAGCATAAGATAAATTAACCAGCACAATAAACCATGGAAGCCAAATCCAAGGTCTTTTCCCAATGAACTGGTTTTACATTCTATGGCTTCACAAGTCAAATTTAATTGTACGACTATCATGGCTTCAATGTCAAACTCAAGGCCTGTGTGATTGTGCAAGTACAACCACAGACTCAAGCTGAGTGAGTGAGTGAGTGAGTGAGTGAGTGAGTGAGTGAGTGAGTGAGTGAGTGAGTGAGTGAGTGAGTGAGTGAGTGAGTGAGTGAGTGAGTGAGTGAGTGAGTGAGTGTGAGTGAGTGAGTGAAGTTTTACACCACTTTTAGCAATATTCCTGCAATATCATGGCAGGGAACACACTTCACACCTCGTACCCTGTTGGGAATTGAACACAGGTCTTCGGCGTGACAAGCAAATGCTTTAACCACTAGACCACTCCAACCCCCTTACACTGTGTGACAGTAAGCCACCACTCACCGTGCCTCCCTGCTCTGTACGACTGGAGGCAGCTGTTTGGGATCCCCGACCAGCACAAACCGGTCTGCGGCAAACAACGGCCCGAGACAAGCTGGCTGCAGCACCTGCGACGCCTCATCTACAATACACACGTCAAACCTGCGCTGTGAGAAGATCGGGTGGTTCACACCCAGGCAGCTTGTGGCAACTATGTTCTGAAACAAACAGACAAAGAAGTAGAGAATGGCCATAATCAGAACTGTCACACGGTAACCACAAACAGTAATGACAAATCTGTATATTTTCAGGATACGTATATGTGCATCTTCCTTGCAGTGTTCCAGGATAACAGGATGCCAGGAGTAAATGCTGAATGGTTGTCAGATAAGTTGGATAAAGAAAAGTTATTAATAATTTACTTTCCATAAGTTTTTCTTGTTTCCATGCAAACAACAAATAGCAAACTATTCTACATCATAAGTATAAGATTAGGCCCAAAGTTTTTATGCATCAGTAGATACGAGGTGTGGAGTTATACATGAGTAAATAATTTTATTACCGACAAACTGACCAGAAAGACATATCCAATCCATTAACCTACTCTATTTAACCCATAAATAATTTCAGTATCTAAAGGCTTAAACCCCTGGATGAGTTTTTTTCAGACGCACATGTCATAAGGTCTTAAAAGTGAATGTTGTACAAGAATTGTGTGTGATTTATTTTTACTTTATTCTATATCAAAGTGGCATTCAGGGGGTTAAGGATTTGTATCAGAGATCTTCATATTGTGGATACAGACAAAGTAAATGTCCAAAATTAAATACAAATTTACAAAGGCTCTCATCGACTAATGATTCATAAAATGTGCGCTTCAATCCATTCTTCACTGGCTGACGCTGCTGATTAGAGATCTTTATATTGTAATTGGTAGGGGTGGGTATTGCAGAGAATTTTCATATTGCGATATATTGCAATGCGAAAGCATGTATTGCGATATGTATTGCAATATATTGCATGAAGTATTTGTAAACAAAAAACTACTTATAATCGAGTTAATTCTTGATTTATAGAGCAAAAACACAACAAAATCACTAGGCCTGATTAAGCTTTAATAACAACTTTTAATCATGATAAAATATAAATATGAATAATATTTGGCACAAATGAAACGAGGACATATACGAAGATTTCCGAGTGTTACGACGATTTCCGAATGCAAGTCAAAATACTGGTTTTCGATCAGCGTATCGCAATACTTATTGTTTTCATGTCTGAACCGGTAAATACCGGTAAACCGGTTATATTGAGCAGCCCTAGTGATTGGAAAGTGTCCATGTCCAACATTTAGAGCCCACTGACCTGTGATTCATAGAAGGTTCGCAGCTCATGGACGGAGGTTATCTTGGACGTTAGGACCTCAGCGGCGTTGTCATGGAGATCAGGATGGATCCTGCCGAGACGACCCAACCGTAGGAAGTTTACATTCAGCTGGAAAAAGATTACCGTATTTGTCATATTAAGCATCTGCAAAGAAACTTCTCAGCCAGCCTATAAGCTATCTTCACAAGCACCCATACTATGTCTGAAAATCTATATAACAGTCCATATTTTCCTGTGTAAACTTTTACAGATTTGATGCAATGTATGAATGCTTACTAGCATTACTGAAAACGTTTCAGTTTCATCAATGTTTGCCCACAACTACTTAATCTTTGAAAACAGATTAAGCTGAATACTGTCTTCATATGCATACCAATTTGTCAATTAAGGTATTTATTATGGCGGTTATGGTTCTACAACTAAACTGAAAACTAGGGCTGCAACGATTCGGTTCAATTCATCGGAAATTGAATCTGACACCTTAGTTTCGATTTTCGATAGCCATTATCACTACTTCAATTCGATATTTGAATACCTATTGAAATTATTTCAACACAGCCATTTTGAATACCTATTTAAATTATTTCAAGCCAGGATGATTTTGAATACCTATTTAAATTATTTCCACACAGTGAGAATGTGATTTTGACTCAAACTCGAACAGTTTTTAGTGTTGAAATAAGGTGAAACGTGATTGGTTGATGCCGGGTTAATTATCCAATGAAAATTGTTGCTAGTAGACATCGCCAATTTGACCATAGATTTCACGCTGAAAAAGCCTACTCTGTGAGTTTAATGAAGTCTGATGTTTTCACTTGTATAAAGAATCGAATCGAAAATGATCAAATCGAGGGTCCAATATCGAAAATCAAATCGAATCGAGGTCTGGGCGGATTGTTGCAGCCCTACTGAAAACATAAATACCTTGTTGAGTTTGAGCAGGATGTTGTCGACAGCGGAGTGGGTGTAGCTGGTCAGGAGGACGGAGAGACCGAGGCAGTTGAGGATGCGGACGAGGGCCACGATGGTGGACGTCTTACCTTCATGAGACATTTACACTCCACTAACATAATACACATGGTAACCATGGTGATATGGGCTCAGAGCTCCATGAAAAATCACTCATCCCATGCTGACAGTACAACACTTGTCCTATACTAACAGTAAAACTTGATAGCAATCGATGTCTTTTTCATTACACAAGCGATTTTTATAAATATATTCCGTACACATTTGTTTTAAACTTTTGGCGTATCTAACCTTTTAAATTAAATAATTGGTACGCAACAATTATTTTTCAAAGCATAATTGTAAATTTTCTATGCGTATTTTACCCGGAAACGCAGCTTATCTGGGCCTCTGTGGGCTGATGTAATTGCACAAAGTTTTAGGCTGTACTGTACTGATTAATTTTTACTTAAATGATAAAATACACCTGCTAGACAGTGGCACTCAGAGTTGGAAACTAATTCTTACTTTTAATGATCTGCAGCAGAATTGCTATCTGCCTAATGATAGAGTTGGTAATCCATTACATAATTGCCACAAGTCTTTGTCTAAAACTAGTGGACTTATTATCATAGGATATTTATATAGCGCACATATCCACGCAACTAGTACATGCTCAAACCGCTGGGTTTTTTTCCCCTCGATCATTGGATGTCAATCTCAAAGGCACATCATATTATCAAACTCAACTCCCTTGGGATCATACAACTCTTGCAGCCACTAGGCGCACCAAGTTATTGCGGCTTTCCAATCCTAATGACTTACAAACACTGAGACATCTAGAAGCTGAGGCCAATATGTTGTAGACAAATGATTTACTGATGAAAGAAGCTGATTTGGTGGACTCAGAAGATGTGTGAAAACTTAATTTAGATTAGATTTACACAAAAACTACATGAATTTTCTTATTTGTCACAATTTCAGTCCAGATTAGACAACTTTTACATGAGGAGAAGCCAGAATAAATTCTGGGCAGTATATTGGTCATTATCGTTATTGATTAGTGAGAGTCCAACTTTAACAGGTTCCACTGTACATGACAAGCTGTTCCTCACCTGTTCCAGGGTAGCCCTTGATCAGCACATAGTCCTTGCACATCAGTATCTGGGACACAAGAACACAATGTGTTCTGAATTCAGTTAAAGAAAACTATCTCATGTCGTAAAAAGGCAAATGTGTTTCACTTGTGAATTTGAGTTCTCATCCATTACATTATTTGTTTTTTTAAGTCTTTGAACGGCATTTAGAAGTGAAACACATAATGAGGGAAGTTCATGGAGGTCAACTTCTGTAACATGATAAACATGACATTCCTTGTGTTCCTCAAGTTGAAATCCATAAATTTCCCCCTTCAATTGTTTAAAGTTGTCCAACACCAAAACCAGCTGTACTCCAGCTTTATGATGTCAGCCTGAATATATTCCAGAATTCTGGAGATTAGGTTCTGGGTCCTTATGCAAACAGAATGGAGATATAATAGACTAGATAGTCAAATTAGCTGTTAAATGCTAAACTACACTATTCCTTGGCCCCATTCCACAAATTGGCATTAAGAAGACAGTAACTCCCTTAACACAGGTACAGTATAGTTGTAGGATTAAGGTGAGTTTGTGGAGCTGGGTCTTCCAGGTGATTTCAGCCTCAAAATGATTGGGTCTGGACAACCGAATCCAGTGATAGAGCATTGATATGCAAACAGGATACTATAACACTGACTGAGTATGGTTTTATGTCGCTTTTTTAGCAATATTCCAGAAATATCACGGCGGGGGACACCACAAATGGGCTTCACACATTGTACCCATGTGGGGATTCGAACCGGGTCTTGATGTGACGAGCCAACGCTTTAACCACTAGGCTACCCCACCGCCCCGGATACTATAACAGGTGTCAACCAAGTCACACTGACAACCCGATCCAGTCAGTCGACTCTTATGACAAGCTTGTGTGACTGAAGGCCAAAACTGGATCTCAGAGTTTCTCAGCCTTTTGGTGAAGATAAAAGTGACAAACATGTACAAGTGAAGATACCAAGATACCAACCTTGAGGATTACAGCTTTCTGTGGCTTGTTCAGGGACTTGAAGATGTGCTTCACTGCAACAAAACGTGTACCATATAATTAGTGAGTGAGTGAGTATGGTTTTACGTCGCTTTTAGCAATATTCCAGCAATATTGCAGCGGGGGACACCAGAAATGGGCTTCACACATTGTACCCATGTGAGGAATCGAACCGGGGTTGGCGACCAGCGCTTTAACCATGGCTATACCCACCGCCCCCAATATAATTAGTAAGTGAGTGAGGTGGGACACTTTAAACAGTACATCAGCTATAAAACATAAGGCAGTTTAGTATAGATGTGAGCCCCAATACAGGTATGCTGTTGTAAGACCAAGGATTAGAATCGGGGTTCAAGACAACTAGGGGACACAAATCTGCAAGCCTACTGGGATGCAAACCCACCTCCCTAAGTCCTGTGTCACTCAGAGTCTTGACCTCATATCCTCAATGCTTCTTACTCAAAATCACAGGTTAGAATTCACACTACAAATGCAGACAGCACACAACAGACAAAAACTTGCAGCATATATTTCTAGATTATAACATGCATAAATGGGGGTAATTTGAAGTTAAATCTCTGGAAATATAGCACACTAAAATGCGTAAAGGAATACTTTACATTCGCCATGATTCCTTTTGAAATTTTGAATGGAAATTTTATCTGAATATCCCGGGTCGTATGAACCCACCTTTCTCGATGGTGCCCTTGGACATTGTCAGCTGAAACTCCGGCTTCTTCCTGTCTATAATGAGCTCTCTTAGCTTCTCCCTAATTGAAAAGATCACACACCTTCAAAGTTAAAACTGTGTACTCAAAAGATCAGTGGTTTCACACAACTAAAGTTAAAACTGTGCACTCAAATGTGTTTGGAAGGTTTCGACCTCCAGTGGTTTCTACATATGAGTATTATTGTGGCTTTCGGTGTTGCACTTTTACCAATATACAGATCACAGTGTCAGTGGAGCTACTATAAAACCAGCTTCAGGACAGCCGCACGTCACCCATACCTAGAGTGTGGTGTGTCTCAAACACGACGATAATGGTCAGCACCTTACCTGGAATGTTGGTTGGTGAGCAGCCACTTTACCTGGGAGAGGTTTGGTGAAGAGGTGGTGAAGAGAGCGTAGGGTGTTGAAGTTGTCACATCGGTCAAGGCGGTAGGTGAGATTCCGCAGCGTTGGGTCCTCGTGAAAGATACCCCTATACAATACCATCAACCATCATTAGAGACATTAGAGGCATTTCCTAATAGCAGGATGACAAGGTCAGTCATCTTCTCCAGCACCATCATGCTTGTAAAGTCCAGGTCCTAGATTTTCGAAGCTCTCTTAGAGCTAAGATAGTCGTAAGTTAACGTTAATGTATGGCACTTACGACTATCTTAGCGCTAAGAGAGCTTCGAAAATCTAGGACCTGGAGTGAGTAGTGATATATCCAACTTTCAATGAATTGACTAAGAAAGTGTAATCCCAAATATATAATATGTTACATTTGACCACATTCTAAATGGCATTGTGTGCTCATAGCTTTCGGCTATGGGTGCCATTCCAATTAATGCTTATCAGAGGGGTACACAAAGTCTGCAGTCTAGACTACCAATTGTCCGACTTCCATTTTGTGGATGCTGCGGTGGCTGAATGGGTTATGCGGCTGACTTTGTGTGCTGGAGATTAGGTGCCTGACTCTGAGGGTGTGGGTTTGAATCCTGGATGGGACTCAACCCAACAAAAGTAATAGAATCTATATTTTACTGAGAAAGTCTAAACCCAAACATAACATATGTTATATCAGTGAATTGCAATTGTTTGCAATGCTACAGCCATATTGCTAAGAATCTGAAACTGCCAATAGCATAGTGAATAGTGGGCATAACAACCACACATTTCAACAGCTGTTATTGGTTATGAATAAAACCTAAATGATGTGAATTTCCCCCTGCCTGAGTGTTGAGATGAGAGTTACCCCCCTTTGTTTGAGGGACAGGAAGGACATGGCAGACTTTGACATTGTGGTGAAACTTCATTCATTTCTGTTTCAGTGACTAATAATCTCATGTGCTGCATTAATAGCTACCTGTCTACAACAATGTCCACTTCAGCCTCACTGATGCTGTAGATGAAGCCGGATGAGAGGACAAGCAGACGGCCATCATCAGAACTGATGGCCACCGAGTCGTTCTTGGAGAAGCCGAGAGTGTGGAGAGGTGCTGGGAACTGCCTGCAGGAGAATACAGATATGCATGCAAGGTGCTGGGAATTGCCTGCAGCAGAGCACAGTTATGTAGGAAAGGTAGGGAAATCCCTGCAGCTGACACTGAGTGATACAGGAAAGGTGTCTAGGCATGGCTGGGGTGTCTGTCTCCCTGAGGAGACTGGTAGTGGTTAGAGCATCCGCCCGGAGAGCGGAAGGTCGCGAGTTCGATCCCCGACCGCGTCATACCAAAAGACGTTAAAATATGGTACTTGTTGGTCCCTGCCTGGCGCTCGGCATTAAGGGGTACAACAAAGGACTGGTTAAACTCAGAGTCAGTATAATGTGTCTGAGTGAGGTATTCATGCTTCACTGCGGCATGGTATCTCAGTGGGCTAGCACTATAAAACCAGCTTCAGTGTGGGCTAGTACAAGCAGCTACACATACACACGCATACACATCCTCATATGAGTGAAATATTCTCAAGCACGACTTTGAACCCAATTTCACCTCACCTCACCTGAGGAGACTGAGATTTCTGCTTACCTGAGATGACTGGGGTGTCTTTTGAACGTAACAATACAGCTCTCTCCCTCGGCAAATCGCTGACTTTCCGCAACATTGGCCATCTTGGTGTGTTTTATCTTCATTCCTGACAAGCAGTCCCCTTTCTTCTCCCTGTCGAAACAAACCATAACTAGTTCACTCTGTGCTCAGGAACAATATAAACAGCAACATTATAACTATTTCAGTCTGTGCTCAGCTATATTACTATTACTACCATTATTTATCACACAAAGTACAGCAACATTCCTCAGTGGACACTGGTATACATATATAACTATGAGTATGACAATACACCCAATACATCCCAGCAAAACACACAGTATTACACAAATATATTCAGCAACAAATCCCACCTGTCGTGACTGCTGCTGCACCAGATGTCGGTGATGTTGCTGCCCCTGGCAACACGACTCTCCAGCTCCAGACACACACACCAGTGCAGGTAGTAGTCAACGTGATGCTGCTGAAGGTGCCCCAGAGTCTCCGGCACCAACTTCTCCATCGCATGTCCGCTGCCACGGTTCACACCCTCAACATGTCTGCAGCATAGGCGCGGTTCAACACTGTAGTCTTATTGTTGTATCATGATTCATGTGGGAAGAGGTGGAAATTAAGTGAGGTACATCTCAGAGTGAATGAGTGAGTGAGTGAGAGTGATTTATTTTATGCTGATATCAGCAATATTCCAGCAATATCACAGCATGGGACACCAAAATTTAGGTAAACATATTATACCCATGTGTGGAATCAAACCCAAGTTTTACCACTATGCTACCCCACAAGCATAAGGGTTGGGAAGATAAAAAGGAATCATGACAGTGGTTTAAGCCGGGATTGAAACTCATCCTAAGTAGATTCTGACAAAACTAAGGCACATAACTTAATGCAAAAGATTAGTGAGAGATCACTGCTCACCGAATACCCAATTTCCGCAAAATACCACAGATTAGGAGTGTCCTGATACTCTCATGTATTAGTACACTGCACACTCACACATGAAATCAATGGTAGTGAAATGCTACATATTAATTAGTTTTCATTAGTTGCAGGGGTGGAAATAACTTTAAAATTGCCAGTGTACTCCGGTACAGTGGCACATGTAAAATCACTTGCCCTGATAATTTTTCCACTATACTGGCCGTTTTCTTGTTGATTTTTAAAATAAACAACATAATTAATATTGGAAAGTCAACTGGACACCGGTACAGTGTGATATACAAATTTGCTTGCCCGACAGAAAAAACCACTGGACTCTGGCGTCGGGCAATGGGTTATTTCCACCCTGAGTTGGTTTTCACGTGGCCAATTAGGGCTCCTTTGCCTTTAGGCAGGAGACCTATTATAATCGTTCGTGCCTTTTTATTATTATTATTATTATTATTATTATTATTTATTCTTCGCCGTATTTTGTAACAGAGCTACAGAGAGCACCGCTGGACAGAATGCCTTGACAAAAATCACCCAGATGCCCACCGAGGTGTAGATATCGGCTTTAAAATCTCTAGGCTGTAGGCCCAATAGCAAAGGGCAGATAATTCAAAATTAATTCAAAATTTCAATTTCAAATTCAAATATCTCCAAAACTAATGCTCCAATGTGTGCCAAAGTTCTTGAGCAGATCGCCAATCAAAATGCCTACAATTTAGCCTGGGCCGGCTCAAATTAAGCTAAAATGCACCGTTTGGGCGCTATTTGGGATTGAAGTTTTGTTGATGTTTTCAGCAAAATCCTGACTGCATACCTCCCAAAATGTGCTGCACTAAAACTACAAGGACTACGGCTTTCAAAGCGTTGCATACTTTGTGTCTATGCATGTTTTCACAGTAGCATCGTCAAATGTGCCTATGTTTATATGATGGCGCCATATTGGGGCTACTTTTGGGCAAAAGTTGTCTTCAAAACTTTCACGGGCTACTTTGCTATTTTGTGCCAAAGCGAAACTTACCACATACAACACTTTAAGCGCTTGTTCTGAAGTTGCCTTTGGTTGTTGAACATTTTCTGTTCTTGGTCCTATGTCAAAAAGTCGCGTGATCGGCGGCCATATTGGATTGAAGATGTTTATCGGAAATTTGCAGATTTTGTTGGGTAGGCATTTTTCGCAATCCATAACTGTGAATGTATGAACTGCAGAGCGCTGTAAATGTGCAGATATACAATATATACCTCAAATATTAATGCCCATAAGCTATGTTGCGATATCTTGATTAGTTTACGGATATCTAGATGTTTGCTTCTGTTGTTTATTTTGTACTAAAATGTATTTTCAAAAATGCTTGGCGTCATAACTATTTCAACTATGCAGCTAGAATCTGGCAGTACATAGTAACTAAGTGTGTTGAACATTTTTCGTTCTTGGGTGTATGTCAAAATGTGTATTGCTTGGCGGCCATATTGGAATTAGTCAGATTCTGATGATACTACATTATAAACAGCATAGCTTCTCAAGTTCTGCACAGAAGGCAGTAAAACTTGGCAGTATGCATCAACATAAGATGCTTAACATTTCGTGTTCTTACATGCATATCAAAAGTTTGATCGTTTGCCGGCCATATGGCATTGAAAATTGCAGAAATGCATTCACGAGTCAAAAGCGGCATAAAACAGCATATAACTCCACCACTATTGCCCCAATCGGCTTCCATATTTGGTATGTGACTTGGTCATGAGATGCCGATCATTTTTGTCTGGTTGTCCCAGGCGATATCTCTAGCCGTTTGGCGCCATCTTGGATTGAAGTTTTCATTTATCAGGTTGCCATAGCAACAAAAGTTGAAATTCAAATGACTTGATTTTTACATCATCGTTAGGCACAGTCAAGGGAATGCTGTGTGCAAAAGCTCAAATCTGTGCGTTTCATAGTTCCGGAGATACTAACTATACAGTATTTTGACGGACAGACATGCGGACAGTAGGCGGACATATTTGTCACTAAATCTGACCGGCGCATATGATACATCGGGTCTGGGCAAAACAGAAACACTAATTCCTGTCACCCTAGAGGTAATAACAACGGCGTCTTAGCTCGCCAAAAAACGTGTTTTTGTCTTGTGACGGACCAGTCAAATGACCTTGACCCCCGTGACCTTGGTGACCTTGACCATTAGAAAGCATTTTTGACATACTATCAAGTTCCGGGGTCAAAACCCCGAAAAACTCAAAAATAACGATTTTTAATTAGGGCTCCTTTGCCTTTAGGCAGGAGACCTATTGTAATCGTTCGTGTTTTTATTATTATTATTATTATTATTTATTCTTCCACCGTATTTTGTAACAGAGCTACAGAGAGCACCGCTGGACAGAATGCCTTGACAAAAATCACCCAGATGCCCACCGAGGTGTAGATATCGGCTTTAAAATCTCTAGGCTGTAGGCCCAATAGCAAAGGGCAGATAATTCAAAATTAATTCAAAATTTCAATTTCAAATTCAAATATCTCCAAAACTAATGCTCCAATGTGTGCCAAAGTTCTTGAGCAGATCGCGCCAATCAAAATGCCTACAATTTAGCCTGGACGGCTCAAATTAAGCTAAAATGCACCGTTTGGGCTATTTGGGATTGAAGTTTTTGTTGATGTTTTCAGCAAAATCCTGACTGCATACCTCCCAAAATGTGCTGCACTAAAACTACAAAGGGCTACGGCTTTCAAGCGTTGCATACTTTGTGTCTATGCATGTTTCTACACAGTAGCATCGTCAAATGTGCCTATGTTTATATGATGGCGCCATATTGGGCGCTACTTTTGGGCAAAAGTTGTCTTCAAAACTTTCACGGGCTACTTTGCTATTTTGTGCCAAGCGAAACTTACCACATACAACACTTTAAGCAGCTTGTTCTGAAGTTGCCTTTGGTTGTTGAACATTTTCTGTTCTTGGTCCTATGTCAAAGACCCTGCAAAGCTACGGCTTTCAAACTTTGAAGCGCCATAAAATTTACTGATCAAAACATCTGTTCAACATTATCCATGTGGATAAAGCGTATGGGAGCTAAAAGGGAAAAAACTGTTTGAGGCGTGCCCCAAATGAAAGAAAAGAGTGCCAAACAAACTGACCCTCAACTCCAGGCAGAACCGCGAAGCGTCGCATAAAAGTCTTCCAACAAGCGTACCAGTCATCATAAATAATGCTTACATTCAAAACCCAAAGTTTGGACAGATTTAAGCGAAATAGGGACTTCTTTATATCACCCGGCGGCCCAGGGATACATTGCGAATGTGTCATAAGTTTCATCGACATTCACGGCGCGGCAGATTACCCGTGCAAAGCATCGCGACAGTCTGAAGGAAGGCGCAAGGGCGATATCTCCTATAAAGAGACTACCACTGCAAAGCGTGGTCCGCGTGCAGATATGGGAGGCGATGTAAATTTCAATTGACAATGGCGAGAGCTAAGCTACACAAAATTAAAATACACTGCAGTACAGGTGCTATTCCTTCATTGTAATTCAATCTTTTGTAAGGGTTATGTCTTTAGGCAGTATTTAAAGATTGTCAATGATTGGCGTTCGGGTCAGGGTAAAAGTTGTAGCTGTGGTCTAAGGGGAAACTCTGGTCTAGCTGAAGTAAAGCTAGTAAAATCGTTCAACAACGACCAGAAGCCGACTTTGCAATGCCGAAGAGTAATCACGCTTTTGCTAACAATTGATTGCTGTTTGCATGGATTTTAAAACTTCATAGGTGACCTGTATCGAGTTTAGGTGTATTTCCAGTATATATACCTGCTCTCGATTCGCGAATTCAGTTGCAACAGATCGAGTGTAACAGTGTAATGGATACTGATGCAAAACTACTGAAGTACCTTAACTGCTGTGTAATCACAAGTTCACTTGCGTGGCGTGAGTGTGAGTGAGTTTAGTTTTCGCCACACTCAGCAATATTCAAGCTGTATGTCAGCGGTCTGTAAATAATCGAGTCATCCGCGACTTGTCAGCTACATGTGGCGTTACATTTAGATTCACATAATGTCAGTCACAGTGAACCTTTCAAATTATATAGTTGAGGCCACAAAATTTTCTGTTTCTCTGACTGTTTGAACAAAGGGTTCTTCTGTTTTGATATTCATGATACCTAAGTGATATTATTTAATGTACGAAAATAGGTTTTGTGATGAGTTTATCGAAACTTAATGACCTCCCAGTACTTCCAGTCGAAGAGCATTCGACTAGCAGTGATATGATTCATATTAACTAATACCATTACTACATTCATGAGATATGTGAGAGATGCAAAAGGCTCCAAAGAAGTAAAGCCAAGGAGCCCTACATCGCTGCTCGCAGCTATATTTTCTTAGATAGTTGTTCTGTAAAAGTTGACCGTAACCGATGTCTGGCTGAGGAACTGCGAAAATGTTGTTAACTATCCCCTTGATATCTTGTAAGCCCATGTGATGAAAATTCATCTTCAGTGTTTCATCGGATGTTATCTGACATTGTTATCTGACATCCAACATAGCCAACTTCAGATAGTTGTACAGTCGTTTGAGTCAGAGAGCGGACCAATGAATTACAAATGTGATCATTGTACCAAAGAATTGCCACATAAATATAAATAGTACCGTTTATCATTTACCAATACCCAACAGCTTTCTTATATTTGAAAATGTTCGGACTCCACCAAAAAGCGTTGTTTAGAAACTATCATCATTGAAAACACAAAGTTGTTATCTGTCGGCGGAGGGGTGAAACGCCAAGAAAGCGGAACAGCCACTATCTCGTCGTGCCGCGGGATACACATGCCTGATGATAAATGAAGTTGAATGCTGGCGTGAAACGGTTGATGATTAAAGTGTAATGCGATTTTTTTTTCGTGCTGAAGCAGAAAGGGCAAACCATATTATGCCATTAATAAATTCGTGGCGGGCAGCAAAAGCTTTAGGAGTATCAGCAAGGGTACTGACAAATGTTCTGGAACACAAACATTGTGAGGGTGATCTGAAAGCAGGTAGAGTTGTGTCAAAATCACACAAATTAAAACATTTGGGCAACTTTCAAAGAACCTTGTAAAGGCAGTCTATCAACAAGCTCTATTCTGAAAACAAATACGTAATGCCGCTGAAAATTTTAAAAAGCATTTGAAGCAGGAACACAACCTCAGAGTATCAAAGTACACACTCTGGTGACTCTTACACTCTTTCAGGTATGCGTTGTAAGAAAATTTAGGGAAGAATAGGTCCGGTACTCTGTGCAGCCCTATTATGTCGTTAAACGAGAAATAATTTTCTCAGGGTTCACAAAGAAGAAGCCTAGCGGGAAGGGTTCGAGGCAAGTGTACTTGGGGCGAGACCTTGGTCAATGAAATGCAGCACACCTGCCAGCAGTCAGTGGGTACCTGATGGGGGTGATAAGGGTCACGTGGCTGCCTCTAAGGGAAAGGAGAGAGACTTATCATTCTCCATGCTGGTTGCTCCAGCAAAGGCTTTTCTCTCCCCAGGCTGCGACTTGGTATTCAGGGCAAAGTCCACAGATAGCAGAGACTACCATTCGAGATGAATGGTGCGGTTTTCCTCAATTGGGTTAAAACAAGTTGGTACCAGCTCTACCAGAGAAGTCTTTTATCGTAATGGACAATGCCCCATACCACAGCTTGCAGGACCCAGACAGTAGAGCCCGACATCGAACAGTCGAGAAAAGGTGATATGATATCATGGCTCGACAAATTTCAGATCGCTTTCGGCCTTCAAAGGCATGAAGCCTCAGCTATATGAGATCATAAAACCCACAAGGTGAACCTTTCTACAAATTTCAGATCGATTAGGCCTTCAAAAGGCAGCGAAGCCTCAGCTATATGAGATCATAGAAAACCCACAAAGGTGAACCTTTCTACAGGGTTGACACTTACATAAATGTAAGTCGCGATATTCTCGATTACCACCCTATCACTGTGACCTTAACCCCATTGAAATGATATGGAATTATTGTCAAAAGGAGATGTTGCCAGATCAAACAGAACTTTTAGATTCACGTGGCGTAGAGGATTTGGTTAAGGAATCCTTAACAAAATCGCGACTGAAACAACAAAACTGTGTCATTGAACAAGGTTTTACTGGTCGGGATGGCTTACAACAGGCAACTGTGGCACCACTTGTCATCCCCTTTAAGTTGTAACTATATGACACTACTGCGGACGAGGAACCGACAGGTCTCCCGGAATAGATTTTGAGATGACTGGCTGTTCCGTTTCTGCGGTTTCACCCCGCCGCACCAGATAACAACTTTTGCGTTTTCAATGATGATAGTTTCTTAAACAACGGAACATTTTCAAATATAAGAAAGCTGTTGGGTATTAGTAAATGATAAACATGTGTACTATTTATATTTATGTGGCAATTTTGTACAATGATAAAATTTGCAATTCAATTGTCCGTTTCTGACTCAAACGGACTGTAGTGTCCAGTTGCGTTATCTTCTTATCTCCCATCTTGAAGATCTATTACGGGATTCACTGATGATCTTGTAATCTCAAACCCTGATGTATCATGAATGGCTCCGTATGATGAAGGGGAAATCTGCTATCGTTGAACGGCGGGACATGCTGACTCTGATTATAATCCTCCCCATGAGTGCCTGCGCGCAGGATTGATGAAAGGTCAAAGTTGGAAGATCGTGTATCTGCGCCAGTTTGTAGAATCCTGGAGAGCGACTGGATCTACTTCTGTGTTAGAATCCTTCCTGCTAGAGATCGCTTAGAAACTGAGTGGAGGCTCCATCATTCAGGCTGCTAACGCTAAGCTGGCGTTTGTTGAGATCCTCCAGGCTTCTAACTTTGCTGATACTTCTGGCCGGTAAAGATCTTGGTGAGCGTAACCCGTTCGTGCGAACCTTCACCTGAGAGCTTGTATAGCTAATATTCGCTTTCGGCATGGGGACTGTCATCGGGAGGGTCTGCTATGCTGAGCTGACATTAAGTAGAGTTCTCCAGACTTGTAACTTCAGTCCCGGTGAAGTTGGACATTTCTCTATCTGAAGATCCATAATGACCTGAGTCTCTGTATGTAGATCTGTATGTAGAGCTGGGTGCGAAGTGAGCGTTCGGTGTGACCGTGTATTCCTCCGTGAGTCTTGAGATATCTCTCTAAGCCTTCCGCGAAGGCTGATCCCTGTGTAATCTCCCCTCTGCGAGATGTGGAGTGCCTGGCGGTGCGGGTTCGATATCTGCTGAGTCCTGAAGTCAATCGGTGGTGATGGTGATCTGGGTCTGTCAGGCTGGCCGTTGTGCGTTGTCCGTTGGCCATCCGTTCTTTATCGATGGGGCTCCGGCTGGAATTTTATGCCTGCGTCATCCGGCCATTTATTTTCATGTGTGTATTTCCTTATTTCGGCCATGGGGCCATCCGTTCAAAGTCCGTCTGTTCAGTTGTCCGTTTCTTCGGTGGGTCGTGGGATTGGCTGTGATCAGATCTGACTCCGGGTCAATGGTCCGGATCCTGGGCCGGCTCACTCCGGTGTTATCCGGCTATTTGTTGGGCTCCGCATGGACCGGTCGGTTGGTTGTGTGTCTGTGTTATTTATCTCCATGGTCTGGGCTCCGCCGGTGTCCACTTCAGGATCCACGGCGGTCCGGGCATCCATTTCCGCTTCTTCCGCTGGTTATCGTGCGGGTTCGGTCGGTCCATGTCTTCTTGTCGTCGATCCTCCGGCTGTGTTGGTCTGTCGGTTCTTCCTGTCATTCGTATTCGTCTATGTGTTGTCCGCTGTCGACCGGCCTGGGCCTGGTCATGTGGCGATCCATCACCCTTCCTTTCTTCCGTGCAATGTCACCTTCACCTTCGATCCGCGTCGTTATCGTTATCGATACCGTCGTTATCGACCGTGCCGTATTGTGGCGTCCGCGTCACCGTCGTCATCGTTCGACGCATCGACGCTGGCGTTACCGTCGTCACCGCTTCGATATCACCTGGCTTCGTATCGTTATCGTCGTCACCTGGCGTCACCGTCGTCGTACGTCGTATCGTCGTATTCTGGATCACCGGTCGTCGTCATATCGTCATCATATCGATGATTATCGACGTCATATGAACTCCACCTACCCCACATCACCCTCCCTACCCCATCCACCACCCCTCCACCTACTTTATCACCACACATTACCTACAACACACATCACCCATAACACACATCACCTACAACACATCACATCATATACACACTTAAAATACACAACATCACCTTACAACACACATCACCTACAACACATCACAAGCATAACACACATCACCTACAACACACATCACCTACAATACACACATCACCTACAACACACATCACCTATAGCATACACATCACCTACAACACACATCACCTACAACATATACATCACCTACAACACACAACATCACTCTACAACACACATCACCTACAACACACACATCACCTACAACACACATCACCCTACAACACACATCACTCATTAAACACACATCACTCAGCAACACATCACCTACAACACACATCACCTACAACACACATCACCTACAACACACATCACCTACAACACACATCACCTACAGCACACATCACCTACAACACACATTACCTACAACACACATCACCTCCAACACACATCACCTCCAACACACATCACCTACAACACACATCACCTACAACACACAACATCACCTACAACACACAACATCACCTACAACACACATCACCTACAACACACATCACCTACAACACACATCACCAACAACACACATCACCTACAACACACATCACCTACAACACACAACATCACCTACAACACACATCACCTACAAACACACATCACCATAAAACACAGCATCACCTCAAAACAGCACACATCACCTACAACACACACATCACCTACAGCATACATCACCTACAACACACATCACCCAGCACACATCACCTACAACAACCTGACACACATCACCTACAACACACATCACCTACAACACACATCACCTACAACACACATCACCTACAACCTGTACATCACCTCCAACACATCACATCTACAACACACATCACCTACAACACACACATCACCTACAACACACACATCACCTACAACACACATCACCTACAGCACACATCACCTACAGCACACATCACCCACAATACACACATCACCTACATCACATACACACACATCACCTACACACACATCACCTGCAACACACATCACCTACAACACACATCACCTACAGCACACATTACCTACAGCACACATCACCTACAACACACATCACCTCCAACACACATCTCCTACAACACACAACATCACCTACAACACACATCACCTACAACACACATCACCAGCAACACACATCACCTACAACACACATCACCTACAACACACATCACCTACAACACACATCACCTACAATACACATCACCTACAACACACATCACCTACAACACACATTACCTACAACACACATCACCTACAACACACATCACCTACAACACACATTACCTACAATACACATTACCTACAAACACACATCACCTACAACACACATCACCTACAACACACATCACCTACAACACACATCACCTACAACACACATCACCTACAACACACATCACCTACAACACACAACATCACCTACAACACACGTCACCTACAACACACATTACCTACAACACACATCACCTACAACACACATCACCTACAATACACATCACCTACAACACACAACATCACCTACAAACATCATCACTCCTGCAACACATCACCTACAGCACATATCACCTACAACACACATCACCTACAACACACATCACCTACAACACACATCACATACAACACACATCACCTACAACACACATCACATACAACACACATCACCTACAACACACATTACCTACAACACACATCACCTACAATACACAACATCACCTACAACACACATTACCTACAATACACATCACCTACAACACAAATCACCTACAACACACATCACCTACAACACACATCACCTACAACACACATCACCTACAATACACATCACCTACAACACACATCACCTACAACACACATCACCTACAACACACATCACCTACAACACACATCACCTACAATACACATCACCTACAACACACAACATCACCTACAACACACAACATCACCTCCAACACACATCACCTATAACACACAACATCACCTACAACACATTATCTGTGTGGCCTAATGCTAAGATCTGATTGGTCCATATGATCTTGAGAAATTATTCTAGACTGAAGTTGGGTTCTTCATTCATTCCTTACATTTTCTTGTCTGTTGCTGAACACCACACTCAGCAATATTCCAGCTATGTGATGGCGATCTGTAAATAATCATGTCTGGACCAGACAATGTGGTGATCAACAGTAAGAGAATTGATCTACACAATTGGGATACGATGTGACGTTGTCAACAAAGTTAGCGAGCCTGACCACCCGATCCCGTTAGTCGCCTCTTACGACAAGTATGGCTTACTGAAGATCAACCACCAAATTTGGACTTCTCACATGCTTATTCATATATATGGCTAAAGTTAATGAAAAGGTGCCACTGTTTTAAGTTAAGCCTCTCACAACAAGCATGGGTTACTGAAGACCAACTCTAACCGGATCTTCATGGGTACATACACAGAGACAAATTACGACATCCCCCCTGACAAGAGTTACCTGCCCCTTGTGTTCTATGGAGAAGGTGGATCGCCCTGTCTTCAGTTCCAAGGGAAGAACTTTCTTCTTCTGCCTCGCTGCTTTGGGGAACTGCAAATTATTCAGCACGAAGGTGTCATGGGAACATAAAGCAAGCACAGTAAGTGAGGGAGCTGGTTTGACATTACTTTGAACAGTATTCCAGGTATGTCTTGGCAGGAAAGCTTGAAGTGATGCAGGTCTTTTGATGTTTTGAAGTTTTGATGGTTAAACTAAACACCTTGAAATTTGATGAAAAGGCCATTTACATGCATGCTCTTAGCATACAACATAATGGACATATAAGTTGTGTACCAATCTTGATGTTCTATGAACAATGTTAATAGTTAGCCAATGACTAAATGTAGGTGAAGAGTTGTATAAATGTGTATTATGTATATATAATGTATAATGTATTGTATATATTGTGAGGTTGTTCTCGGTATTTGGACAGCATCACACAAACGCAACCATCATCAACAATAGCGTGCGCCTGCATGTGGACTCATCAACTGTGACACGTGATTGTATCTCGATTGTATTCAGTCTCGTCTTTGTCTTCGTTGAGTAAACGTCTTGTGTTTGTATATCAGTGTTGTGTGTTATGTGAGCCTGAAGACCTTACAATGGTGGCAGCGGTGGGATAGTGTGGACACATTGAAGGACTTTGAAGGATGTGCGACTTTAAGAAGAATTTCAAGGAATGTGCTCTCCATCAAACTGTAACGTGAATTTGTTCCATTTTGCCATTTTGACCTTGTGGTTGAACTTTTTCGTCTTCTGTGTGAATGACATTGAACATTTAAGCGAGGATACTCTTCATTTCATCATGGCTGAAGGTGGTACAAGTCAAGAACGTTCTGGCGATATCAAGCATTTCAAAATTCCTGTTTGATCCCAAACAGTCAACTTTGGCGAACTTTAATAAAATGCGTATGAAGTGAAAGCATGGGGCCTTACAATATGTACAATCCCAGAAAAATATACATAAACAATAAAACTTTAATCCCCCACAAACCCTATACCAACCTCAACTTGTACAGTCATATCGATCTTTCCCTTTACACCAAATCTGAAAGATGCACAAGAAAATAGAGTTACCGTATCTCAGGTTAATGAGTTCAGATTATCAACTAGATAGATAATACGAACTGAATCAAGTCAAATATTTTCTGCCTGTCACCAACGTATGGGAAACAATTGCCAACATCATGTAATACATCATTAAACAACTATATTGTGTGGCAGTGGTGGCAAATTCAATTAGTGAGTGAGTGAGTGAGTGAGTTTTACGCCACTTTTAGCAGTATTCCAGCAATATCATGGGGGGATACACCAGAAATGGGTTTCACACATTGTACCCATGTAGGGAATCGAACCCAGGTCTTGGCTTGACGAGCAAACGATTTAACCACTAGCCTACCCGAATGCCAATTCCAAATCAATGAATACATATGGGCAAATATACAGTTATTTACTACATGGTCAGGGGTGAAAATAACCCATTGCCTGACGTCCGAGTCCAGTGCTATTTTCGGGCAAGCAAATTTGTATGTCACACTGTACCGGTGTCCTGTTGACTTTCCAATGTTAATAATGTTGTTTATTTACAAAATTAACAAGAAGACGGACGGTATAGTGGAAAAATGATCAGGGCAAGTGATTTTACATGTGCCACTGTACCGGAGAACACTAGCAAGTTTAAAGTTATTTCCACCCCTGATGGTACTGGTCTAATAATGACATACAACACACGAATAATTCTCTTGTATCATGTTCAATGAATAGTATCTTTGAGGCAGTGTGTTCATATTGCAGAGTGTAAGAACTGTGGCTATTTTTAAATGTAACTCATTTCGACATTTGCTGTCTTTCATGGCTTATAAAGTATAAAACAGCAAAAATATAACAAAATT